AGGCCTCCGATAGCGAAACTCAAAAGACGCCCACACCAAGCCTTGGAAATTCCACGCAAGTAACGCCTGTAGCGGAGCAAGCGCTTCTACCACTTTTCAACACTTCCGAAGTGCGGCCTGCGGCCCAAGCACACATAACACAAATGTTTGCGGATGCTTTGCCAATGGCCGTGTCAATGATACCGCCGCCCCCACCGCCTATCGGCCCGATGGAGGAGGAAGAGCAACTGCGCATGGAAGAGGAAATCGCAGCCGCACAAGAGACCCAAGAAGAGCTGTCACCCACTACCGACGAATACCAAGAAGGTCTGCAGTTCGACGCCGACGACAAGGAGGATTACGATTATGACATAATAGATACCGACACACAAGCTGGCTATATACCGCCCGCACCGACACCGGCACCGTCTATGGCGCCACTAGCCGAAATGGATATAGATACAGTGGATGACGATGAGCCATGCGAGGAGATCGAGCCAATGGTTGAAGTGGAAGAGCTGCCAAAAACACCAACAGCCGAAACAGTTATGCCAGCGATTGTCGAAACTATAGTGCCAGTTATCGCAGAGGAGGTAAAGAAACGGCGTAAGAAACGCATCGTAGATGGCAGAAAGCCACACTCCGTAGATGAGAAAGAGAGGGCCAGCACATCGGCGGCAGGTGGCGCGACGACGGAGGCCAGTGGTGGCACGAATAACCAAGCTGACCGCAATGCGGTGTGCCCCTGGGAGGATGAGTAAGTAGTCAGAATTCGGATGAAAATTATGAATTTAAACTGACTTTTTTATATTTTTTTTTTATTAGAAACGTAACCACCAGCGATGGCACATTTGTAAAAACCTATGCTACGCTCGGGTATTTATGAATAAAGCAGAACCTCTTCAAATCTATAGTTACCAAAATACTGAGAAAAAAGAAAAATCAAAAGAAATAACATTTGTTTGCATCGCAAATTTACACACACACACGCACACACCTACTTACATACAGACACGCACACACTCAACTAAGCACTCATATATTGACAAGATTTGCGTATAGATAAAAATATAAGACAGTAGGAGTGAAAGTTCTACATTGCCGTGCAGGGAAGCACATTGCGACAACACCGTTTATATTCGCGAATCTTAAACTGTTTCAGGATAATTTATTTCATATATGTAAAATTTGGTGATTTATTTACTTGGTTCGCGATCACTGGAATTCAAAATGTGTACTTGCTTCTTGATATTTGATATAAACAGGCTATATAAGAGCGGGCGCTTTTGTTTTTGTTTTGCCCGCACAAAGCAAAGCTATTGCCACAGATCGTTCGGCACAAATTTATTTTTCCCTGCAGGCAAATAAATCAAACACGCACACGCATTCATACGTAATTACACTAGGAATTGGAAAGATCTTGAAAAACCACGTTGTGAAGAAGCAAAACAATATATACATAAATGAGAAATAAATAGCCGCTAATTAATGCCATAATATTTATAGACGTCTAACATACACATTTACAAAACACAAACCAACCAGCAAGCAACCATAAAAATGGGTATCAAATCTAACAGGAAATAAATAGAAAGTGGAATGCATTGCTTAACGTTATAAGTACATTTCGACGGCTGGAATAGGGCGCTTTTGGACTTTGGTCTTAAATAGCGCTTTCTTCAATCGAATTCTGAAATATCGCGTTCTTGAAACCTTTTCTTAGTTAGGGCGTTTTCGAACCGGCTGCTTTGATAGACCGATCTTCCTACCAGCCTTCGATATGTACGCTAACTTCCCCAAGTGAATTGTTTATTTCTGATAAAATTTATTTTTTTATTTATTTTTTATTAAAAATAATAGGTGCAATCCCGTATTCCTCGGACTCGGACTAGTAAAACTGTCAAAAAATAAAAATTCGCTCAGAGCGAGAGAGTAACATTGAAAAGTACGGGATCGCTTTCTAGTAAAAAAATTGTAACTTCTGTCAACTTCAACATAACCTCCAAATTTTGGTTGTAAATTTTTGCTTATTTTGTATGTAAACACACTCAGCTCACACATGTAAATAACCAAAAATACTTTCAAATTCATTAGAATCCACTTAAACAAGTAAATAAATACTTTGAAGCATGAATTAGCAGAGTGCACTTTTCTTTTGTTTACAATTTGGTTGCCAAACACACTACAGCTGATCGTTTGACACATTTACCAGAATTTACCAGCAAAAAATTCTCGGACTAAAACTGGTAACTTCTGACAGAGAGAGAACCGTATTTACTCTCTTTTTTGTCCTCTCAATAGTCAGAGAACCGAGTACGGGATCGATTTCCAGTAAAATCTGACTGATTCTGACTATTTCTGACTAGTCCGGACTCGTACGGGATCGCAACTAATATAAGCTGAGTAAGCAAAGGCTGAAGCTAAGGCGAAGTTTCAAAAAGCAATTGAGCCTTTTGACAAAAGGGGTTGATTTTGATGTGTTGCGGGAAGATTTGTAACAAAAATGAATGAACCCAAGCCGTAAGATTATAAGCCGAGAGGTCTAAGTGAAAAAAATGAGTCACATTTTGTATGCAATTCGATCAGTTAAAGAGGTTTAAAGGAACTGAAAAGGGAAAGAACAAATTCTGACACAAATCAAAGCATCTGTTGTAATATTTACCTCGCTTTTATTGACATGACTTGCAACAATGTGGTTACATGAGTTTTGATAGCTTGAGGGCATTTTTTAGAATCTATAGAAAACTTGAAGTCAAGGTTGTTTTGCCATTGAAGTGCTAATAAAATCATCACCAGCTGTTACAAGGCTGGCAAAAATACTTCCATTTGAGCGTATTTGAAAATATTTCTTGACTATTAAGTGCAGCGACTTAAAGTAAGGTCGTGCAATATAATGAATTTTGTGTTGTATGCCTAATTTTTAAAATCAAAAAAACTCGTTAAACCGATTGATTTCTTTACTTGGAAACTCGAACATTTTATTATTTAAGTTTATTATTTTTATTTTTTAACCATTACCAATTTAATCAAAGTTAATGGTGTCTTGATGTAAAACAAACTATTTTATGGAGATAAACAAGGCCAATTTTACTACCATTGGCTTAACCAGGCCAGTCGAGAAGGGCTGAGGGTGTTCAATTGTTCCGGCGCCGGCTGAATATACATAAGACGCCCGCGCAAACTTGAAAGATGAAAACTGAAAAGATGATAAATCGCGAAATAAAATTGGGATATTAAAATCCCGTTGCCAGGGTATCTGCTAATGTGGTTATATTTTTAACTCAGTTTACAAAAACAAAATACACTAAAGAATTCTAATTTTTAACCAGATAACGTTAAAACCAGGCAGGTTTGAATAACACAAATAATAAAATTTTTTCAATATGAAAACTTTGCGTTCCTTGAAATGAAGAAAAAAGATGCGCCTCCTATGAAATGAAAGAGAAAAAAAACTTTCTATTCTGACCAAAAAGGATTGAAACTACGGAAACTATTATTCTAATGAATCTGGCCGCTCAAACAAGATCAGACGTTGACGATATTAAAACACATATGAAATCGTTTGAAGGTATTTTGTTGGCCTCTATTTGGTTTGAAACTCCTGCCACAATTATCTATCGGAGTAACATTTTTTATGAGTCTGTGATGCTACCACTGATGTGGAAGCGCCAATGTAAAGAGTTTAATTGAAGGATAAATCGTTGGTTCCTTAGATACATTCCAAGAAGAACGGAGAAAAAAAAATTTGGGTTACCAAAAGATATAGTGGATTCAAATTCGGAGACACAGTTCAAGCAAGAGGACGTCTACAGCATACTTCTGTAAGGTGTACGATGTGGACGCTAATATTGACTTGGTTGAAGAAATTCGATACTTTAAGACTTCACGGAGCAGCATTTTCCTGCGCTCCAACGCCTAAACAAATTACCAAACTGAAGATGACCGCATTATCCTCTAATATCTTCGCATCTTTCCAAGTCTTCTGACTTATTCCACTGACTGTTGCTGAAGGCATACGATTATGCAGTCTACTAGCTTGAATTAAGAATTTTTACATTCTACGAGTAACCAAGATAGACTAACAAGTCTCGAAACTTTGGCATTGGAATTATATCTGGATTTACACAATTCATGGATTCCGAATCCGTCAAGAAAATGGTTTCTGAGCGAAAATCACTTAAGAATGTGGCGATAGTTTAGGTCTGAAGTACTTCGCTGAACGTTACCCAACATTTTGTTTCCGAAAAACTTAAGAATTGTATTGGAAAAAACTGAAACAGAAACTTCGGTAGCCGGTTTAAAATTTGTGTTGTGCGAACTTAAAAAAAAAAAAAAATTTAACGTATACTAAAATTCAACAGCGTTGGTAATAGAGAAACATAAATGAGATAATTTTGGGAATTAACTAGTCAAACCTAAAGTTCGTTGCAATGTAAATTGCATTTATGAAAATCATCTTAAATTTCAGGCGAGAATGTGGCTTACCTTCGAGATATTTGATAAGATGATCAAATTAAATTTGAGCTTTTTTTGCATTTTTTTATATTTTTTAATTTGATTTTTTTTTATATATTTTTTTTTAATTAGTTACAAGCATTTTTTTACAGTATTTGCGCTGCAGCAGCAACAATCAGTGTGACCAGATTATCACAAAGACCGAAGTTAAATTGATTTTTCAAAAAGGTTAGGAAAAATTGTATCCTGTACTTATCGTATTGATGACTTTTTCTGCAAAAATCGGTTCTCTATAAATAAACATTTCAAACATTCTTATCAAAACACAGAGTTCAGTTTCCGAAAATAAAAACAGAAAACTTTTGTCATTTTAAATATGGCAAATTCTCAGATCAAACAAAAAAAATGAAAACACGAAATTAAAAAATTTTAACAAAATCTAAGAGCTCATTTTCTCAAACAAATGGTGCCTTGCTTTGTCATTTTATTTTTTTGAACGGTAAACTATGCAGTTTTTGAAAGTAAAAAGAAAAGTAGTCATAATCCGTAATGACTAATAATTATTACTAATTAATTATTATTAAATATTATTATAAGTTCACATCCGAATGCGCGGCAAAAAAGGCTAGAGAAAACCTACGCTAAAACTAGTCTGAAAAAGACTAACCTGGTAACACTGGCTATAATATTGCTGAATACGTGTCACTTTCCGATTGCCAAAATATTAAGAATGCAATCTAATTACTTCAATGAGATAAAAGCATTTTTAATGTCTCAAAAGACCAAAAGTTTCGTCACTTGTCGACGCGACTACTCTGAAAGAATAACGAAGAATACACAAATGTTTTTGAAAACTTTTGTTAAGCCAATACCTTTTGTAGAATGATGTTTTATGTGTGCCAAAGAACTACCTACCTACCACGTATGAAAGTAGGACAGCTATTCTTGCGGCCTTCGACCGCACGGTCTCGGCTTTCGTGCACACACAACTCTCGAGCCCCAAAATGTATGCAACGAAAACGAGACACTGCCGACAAATAAGCAACCAAACCGCGGATGGATGAAGAAAAGCAATGTTGGACATTTAGCAGACGCTTGAAAACCCCGTTTAGCGGCGGCAGTCTGGATTCAATCAAATCATAAGCCATCATTCTACGAGACGTTTGCGGAATGTGGAAGCACGATTAACTAGTAATAAGGAAGCAAAGTACTGGGAAAGAAAATAAAAATTAGATCTAAATAGAAAATATATGTACAAGTATATGTAATGTCTGTTGAATATTGTATGTGCACTTTAAATACACTAACTAAGCAAATGTATTATTCATGAATAAATATGTAGTTGCAGAGAAAAAAAAAATTACGTAGAAAAAAAGCTTAATATTTGTTGTTTCTAAGCAAAGAGCTAAGAATATTAAAAAAAAAGAAAACAAATTACTGTTGCATTTAATCACAATATTTACTCACATACACAATTTACTATATATTAGTATTAAGCAGTTTTGAGCTCCAAAAAATAAAAAAAAAATTTATAAAAAAATAATAAAATGAGATATAAAAATGCTAAAAAAATAAAAAAAAAAATTAAAAAAAGGTTAAAAAAATATATGTGTATTTGGTGTACATTTTAACAACTAATCTAAAATTATACCCATACTTATCTACATACAAATGTATTCC